ATATTTTAGATATTTTTAATAAATATAAAATTAGAAAATAAAGGCAAGGAGAACTCCATTATCAGAGATTATTGCTATGGGACTACACTTTCTTTTATGATGATGATGATGATGATGACCATTATTTCTGATCCACATACTTCTGATTTTCTAAAAGACTAAATGCTGGATCTTCAGCATTTATTTTTTTCTGCCTCAATGCAGGAAAAAAACATCTTACACATTAAATACTGCTCCAACTACACACACTACAAAATAACGCAGCACACATATGGCACATTTTTACCCAATGCACTAAAAACTTCAGGAGTAAAATTCACTCTTCTTACAGCTGGGATTTAAACCTGATTCCTGAATCTCACCTGTGTGAAGAGTTGCTGGCAGCGCATAAAGCTCCTCTGGTGCAAATGAGACTCAGAAAAGGAAGGTGGATCTGATACTACATGTCCCTATTAAAAAGATGCCATTACTACAGCAATGCAATCTTCAAAGTGCAGGATGCAAGTTAAAAGTCATAAGGTATTTTTTTTCTMTATATATATTCAAAAAAAACAAGGAGATACAAAGGGGAAGGAACTCCAAATCAGTTTGCTGYGTATGAAACAGATAGTTAAATATTTAATTGCTGATATTTGGTATTACCTGCTTTAGTTCTTGCACAATGACAGACCTTTAAATGCCTTCGTCCTCTCATTAAGCAGATTTTGTCTGAAAATATCTAACATGAAAAATACTGCTAAGTCTATTCATAAAACAATATTCTATATTTTTATTTTTTTCAAACAGCAAGTGGCCACATTTAAAATGCATCATTTGCAAATATAAATTATCAAACTATTAGTTTAATTAAAAATAAAGCAAAAAACATAACTTCCCTTAGTTTCACAATACATAGAAGGGTATTACAAACCCCAAATGACTAAGTTAACCATGAGAAAACAGTAATGTCAAAAGCGATGAAACTCACTTAAGTCACTTAATGAATAAATCAATCCTAAGAATACAATACCATTCACCAGGATTATGCAAAAATGCAACCTTTCACTGTGTTATACAGATAAAGCAATCCAATCCTTCATGCCACATTTTGTAAACCATGATATAAATTACACTCACAGTCAAATGAAAAAGGAAGAATAACTTCCAAAATATTTTAAGTTGCTTTTAGGGCAGAAGTAAAGGCAGAAATAGAGTCATCTAAAATATATCAAGTTTAACCAAAAAATCCATTTGGTCAAGCCTGCTATCCAAATAGTTTTGTTTCCTGCAAAACTATCTTTGTCTTTTTCAGTTGATTATGAAATCTATATGTTTCTTTTACATACTAAGTGTAAATACTAAAGCCATGTGTTCAACTACAGCAAATCCTTTTCAACTTGTATTATTTTTGCCATGAGCCTCAAGCATCCTTCATATGCACACACATACATATGTACGTGCTCGTGCAAACACACACACATGCACACACTCTCTCTGTCAGAAATATAAGGAATAAACAAATTCAAGCTTCTCGGGTTCCTATAGAGCCATCTGTTACCTATATACAGACCTTGACTGACGGAATTCAGGTTATGATCTTGTTTTTGTCATTTAAATTTTCACACTGACATTACAGGGATGGAACTGATGTTATAGGATAGAGGAATAATGTCTAATCATCGAAATAAACCTATAATATTGCCAAAAAATTCTCTATAAGGATTATTTTTTCATTAGTTGAAATACAAAGAAGGCATATGGACTTCAGGAAAATAACACTATCTCAGAATAAGCACTGTAACAGTGTCCCACTATATATATCATTTTTTTTCATAACACATTTATTTTCTCCTGTATACTAGATTTTACACTAATTTCTCCCTCTCTGCAAGTTCATCATATTCCCAGACTCGCTTCAGCACTGCATAGTGCTTCAAAATGAAAGGTCACTTGCTTTATTGGGTACCAAGTTCCCTTCCAGACAGCATTAAAAAGAAAGACAAGACTACACAGACAAAGTCCAGTATAATTCATTTCTGACATTGAAAATTCCAGCCCCTCAGACTGTTGCAAAATTCCTCCTACTGAAATGCTTTACTACAATAATAAAAAGCATACATYACATATAAAAGATACCAGTGTACTAAAAGTGACAGAAGTGACTAGCAAATCCTTCAAAGCACATATTATATAAATGACTAGCATTTAAAAACATTTTTTTTTCTATAAAATGTAGGTCATATACATTTATAAATCGGGGGTAGGGAGGTTCTAAAGCAGTAATGACTGTTTCAAATAGGTTCGCTGCTCTGTACAGTCTAATATCTATTCAATTCAAATGATAAGTTTGATGWTGTTGTAATCGAATCAACCCACAGCATTTCGTAACTCAGAAATGGCAAAAATAAGCAACCCGAATTAAATGTGCCTTGTAAGTTCACTGCTTATCTGCGTCTGAAATAGGAAGAGAACTAATCCTTTCTACTGGAGGCCCAAGTCTCATCAGTTCAGTATCGGGACTTAAAAGACTCCCAATTTAAGTGGAGGAATTGCCAGGAATCGGCACAGAAGCAGAATAGGATCTCTCATCCTTTAGAGACTCAGCTACTCAACTTTTGCAGTCTTCCTCATCCCGCAGAAGTGCAGCCAGGCCATTCCTCTCTGCCTCAAAGTGTGTACGGATGGAGCCACAGATCTACAGGCCGTCCCCTCTGCGACCGAAATTGTGCTGTGCAAACAACGTTCTGTACTCCAGCAGGAGGACATCTGAATTTATTGATTAAAAAAATGATTAGGAATATTCATTAACTCAAACAAGGCTATTAACTCCAAAAGTATTTTTGTTCTTGGACCTATCCTTAYGCTACTTGTGAAGTTAGCACTGTCCTGTATTATTGCTTACAAACAGTACGACATYGTATGCCTTCCAACAGAGCGGTACTGCCATCAGTTCGTTCGTATTTACAGGATTTCTTGTTTTGATTCTTTTTTAAAACAAGCTATAAAAACATTACATACTTTACAGACAATACAAATTTCCACATTTGTACTCAGTTCAAACAAATGGAATGCATAACAATAATAAACCTCATAAAGGAAGACTGACATAAGTCCTTGATTGTCAAGACACATTTATATTTATATATAAACTCTAACTGTGCAGAATCAAAGATTCAATCATAGGTACATCCTCATTTGATAAATCATATTTACAGCATGATATTGCATAAAAAAATAAAATAATGTTGTTTACACAATATTCCATTGGATTCCATTGGTTTCCATCCATTGGATTAAGGAAAGCAAGAAACAACTCTTAGAAAGGTTTGCTTGCCTCAGTTTGTGTTTCCTACCAAAAGACACAGTTTTAAAAAGGAAACATAAGGTTTTCTATGCAGAGTTTAGCAAAAGCAACTATAAATTTATTTCCCTGACACAAAGCAATTCAAAATGGAACAGAAGTTTCAACTTTTAAGACGTTTCTTTCCATGAGCAGTAACACTTTCTTAGTACTTGTCCTGGGCAACGTGAGCTTTAGCTAAATGCATTACATGCCTAACGTAAACATGCATTACCATAAGTTGAATGAACTTTCAAAGTTACAAGGCTTCATTGTAGTAAAACATTGAAAACGAGGAAAGTGTAACATTATTCACTGCTTTCAAATACGTAATTTGAAAGTTCACCTGGGTATTGGGACTAACTGTCTATGTGTATTTCTGCCTGTAAAAAATTTCCAAATGGCTTCCCAGGAGAGGTTTCCCTGCAATTTGTAATGGTATTAAAACAAGCAAAGAAACAAGAAAAAAAAAATCAAACCCCTCATGAACAAAACTGAGTTAACAAATACAYGTGCATAAAGAAATCCAATGCTGCAAAATTCAGAGTGGATTCATCCAAATATTCTGGTTCATTTCAAATAGTTATAACATAYGATACAAATACTACAAAAATATTCTGAACAAGCATGGAATATATTGTATATGTCCAGGTGGAAAGTTTTCATAGGAGAAAACAAATACTTCAGAATAAACTCCAAAAGTTACAGCAGAACCCCAATAATTCGCAGCAAAGACTTGGAGACCCTCTACAGATCACAATTTTGAAAATAGTGAAGAAGCAGGCAACAAAAGCAAGGATGTCACATCACAAAAAATACTTTGTTCATTTATTTTGACAACTGTAATTTAGTTTTCAGTATTTCTTGTACCTCTCAGTTCACTAATCTGGGTTCTGAAGTATTCTTGGGCAAAGCAACACAGTATTACTATTARGGGACCTCACTACAGCACTTTTTAGAGCTTTGCAGAGAGGCGGGCAGACCCTCATGGATGCGTAAAACTTAATGGATGCTTTGATTAGCAGTCAGCGAATTAGCAAGATTTTACTGAACTTCCCATATTGACAATGAAAAAATACCTTCATCAAATAAACCTGACAAGTACAACATGAAAGTAAGGAAATGTTAATTCACATGAACACCTTGTTGTCCTATTTTCCTTTGGAACCACAATTTTCATTAAGACAACACTAGAAGACACATAGCTCTTTTATCACCCAATTTAAATTTTTTATGTTGTTACTCATAATTGAACATACAGCGATACACATTGTTATCCTTCTCCCCAAACCTGGAAATTTATGATTAATTCACTCTCAAATCAAATGAAGAAAATGTCAATGCTTATTAGTATACCATTACAAGCCAATTCCTTCATTGCCTGTTATATTAATGGTAAAACATATTAAAGTACTCATGCGAAAAGGGACACTGTCGAGTAATTCAGGTACAAAATATGGCCTGTTAATATATGTGTGTGTGTATGTAGATATACATATACACACACGCATATATATATGTATATATAGAGGGAGCTTGGTAATAAATGTTATCAAGTTCCTATTTTTCAAAGTCAATTTTCTCTAGCAGCAGGAGATGCCCAYGATAAAGTCACTGCGTTTAGTGCAAGACCTAGAGCTAAAAGCTTCTGCTGTTCGTCTGGCAGAACCCAAACGTTATCCCCAAACCTGTGCTGACCGAACACGAGTGATGGATGGAAATCCAAAGCCTCTTTCTTTCCACCTCTCTCGRGATAATGGAAATCTAACCCAAACCCACACTGACCAGACCCACGGGAAGGGTGCGCAGCCACAGCGGGGTAAAAGCAGCGAAATGGGAGCAGTGGAAAATGTTCGAAAATAAGGTCATCGTTAAAAAAGCAATTTTTTTTTTATATGGAGAGACTTTCCCAAATCCACATACAGGCTTATTCCTGAATAAAAGGGTATGCACTGAGGAAATGACAGCAGGGTATTTGGTTAATACCTCCTCCATACAGGCAAGCCCGGATTATCCATAAACACMACCTGGATGGCGTGAGCAGCTCTAACTTACTTTGTCTTTTCTTCTTTGCCTTTGTTTTTTGCTTTCGTTCTGCTTTTGCTGCTTGTCGTATTTAACAAATAGTGCTATCACTGACCATCTATTTGCACAGGCAGGACACTAGGACCAAGGTGGCAACACAATGTTATTCAGGAAGCAAAAGCTTGGATCTCCTGGGGATGAAGGATGAAAATGAGAGATGCTTTACAAGAGGTGGCTTCCTGGGATACAGGGGCCATATTTATTGTATCTGTGCAAGGAAGGATGCAAGATCAAAAAAAAAAGAAAAGTGATCATAAAGAAAACCAAATACACATGAATCCAATTTAAAATACACTTTCAAAGAAATTTCCTTACATGAATCATTAAAAATCCAAAGGGAATATACTATTCTCCCTTCTTCTTGACTCACCGACAAATCTCCTGACCAAATAACTGGTAAGCAATAGCATGCAGAAACACCTTCCTATATCACATACCAGCTGTACACCATCCATGAATCAAACAGCATCTGTTTCCTTACAGAAAAGTATTAAGGAAGAAGTTGACACATGCTTCTTCCTCAACTGTGCAAGGGCAACTGGTGCAGGCTCCTCAGCCATCCCACGCTGGAAAAGACAGAGGGTTCAGAGAGACCAGGTCCTGACARTGAAACCTAGGGAAAATATTGCTGCTACTTTGGGCAGAGGTGGGGAGGGTTGTGTGTCCCACTCAAGTCCTATTAAAAGACAGAATGTATTTTCACCTCTTGAGACGCAGATTTTTCTACTGATGGCTTCATTTGAGAGATATCAGGTAGCAATAGTGCTCTAAAAGGATTTATGCATCCCTATTAAAAAAAAATTACATATATACACATATATATGTGTGTCTGTGCGTGTGTTTCCCTGGTTAATCAGCCTATGTTAGGCTTAAACTGCCTTAAACTACCAGACAGTGTCCCTTTAGGGAAGGTGCAAGAGAACATACAGTTCAAAAATCTGTAAATTGTTAACTTAAACTACACAATAGTTATGCTACTCAAATCTTACAACCTTAAAAATGCACACAGAACTACTTATCGTACCATACCGTATACTTCAAGACAAAGTACTATTCAAAAAAACATATTCATGGTACAGGGATAAAGTTTGTTGTTTATTTATATGGTGAAATGCAATGAAAGCTTCTGATCACTCAGCTACGCTCAAAAAGAAATTCCGTTCACTAGTATTACTCATCAGTTTTGGTTGGTAAAATTGCAGTGAATTTTTCTACGAAAACATTAAAAAGATATGCAGTTTGAATGCCCACTTCTTCAACTTTCTGGGGTACTTCAGTAAATTTCATTATTTGAATTGCCAAAATTTTAGACAGAGAATTAAGACTTTTTTTTACAGAAGCTAAGAATATCCAATCTCAATTTATATTAAAACAACTGGAGCTGTACGAGATGACAATGATGAAAGCATATCAAACCTAAAAATCTAAAATAGCTTTATTTTTTGAGAAATCAAAAACTATCAAATAGACTAAGTGCTCTATGTTAATCATTATGAATATGAAGGGTAAGGTACAATTAAGCTTTTAATCTTGGAATACACAGTTTGTGTAAGCATTATGTAACTGGGAATGTCATCTACAGAGTATTTCAACTAAAACTTCAAAATCTTGATATCTGCATATGAAAAAAGTCATTAAAAAGTTACATCTAGATTCAGCTGTACAAAGAAATACACATTACTTCAGGAATGAAGTAAAGGCATTAGCAGTTAGATATTTTGCTAAAAAAAAGTGTTTAAAATATTTTAAATTAATTAGGCTTTTAAATAGTAGAGTTAGTCTATCAGAATTTATTTTTTTCCTCCAAACACAACTCAATGTAATGCAAAGCGAAAATAAAGGGCAAATGGTCTAAAATTATTTTTGACGAAGCTGGAAGAAAGGATCTTCTGCTAGAAAATGCCATCTTTTAAAGCTATAATTGCTTGACCTTGAAACTTAGAGTTTATTCTGTCTGTTTAGTATGTGTTGATTCCCTGCTGAAGAGCAATGAGTATGCTGACAAGCTCAGAAATGACAATGTGAATATCAGACAATAACTGTCCTCCCAAAGCATACAAGGAAACCAGTTAGGAAACAATCATGGGGGGGAAATCTTACCTGGGGCGTTTTGTTTATTTTAAATCTCATTGAGGGTCAAATAGTTTCTGTATTCAAACAAGTGAATAATAACCTGCCTTTGATAGGGGCAACAACATCAGGCAGTGATGGTGACTAACAAAAAAAAAAAAAAAAAAAAAAAAAAAAAGCAGTTATTGGTCTTGCTAATATCAGCTTACTTTTGTTTTAACATATCGCTCTTAAAAGCTGTACAGAACTCCATCTTATATAGAGCAACCCCGTTTTGACAAATGTGTTCTAAAGTGCCAGTATTATTTACAAAGATTTCTTAGCCAAAAGTCTGGCCTGTTGTGGCATCGGGTGAAGAAGTCATCCCAGCTCTACTGTCATTTACATTCACCAAGGGAAATTCTGGGAATTCAGCACTTGTCCCTGGTCCCCGGAGGTTCACCTGTCCATTGGCAGTGCTAAACTGAGATGATATTCCAGCTCTTGCCCCATGGTACTGAGCTCTGAAGGGCTGCTCAAAGGAGCTAATCTGATATGCTTGGTGAACAGGCTGGGCCTCTGCCTTCTTCTGAGAAGTTACTTGATCCAAAAAGTCCTGTGTGGAGGAAGAGGAAGAATGATTTGCCTCGTCACCTGAAAAGGGGAAGGGGTGCTGGGATTCACCAACCATTAGTCCAAAATGCGACTTGTCCGGAGTTGTTCTTAACGGAGAGTTCATTCCCGATCGAAAGCTGTTGACCGGTATGGATGTGTAGACCTGTTTCTCTATGGAAGGAAATGCTGGCTGCGTTGTAAGAGTCTGGTTATCTGTCACAAAATTAAGGCTTGGGTTGTTCAAATAGGCATCATTTTGGCTAGTTCTGTCCAAAGCTTGTTGTAAAAACTTGGAATATTCTTGTAACATACTAGCTTTATCTGAGGAGGAAGCTTGAGAGCTTGTTCCAACTGTCTCAGACTGGGTGACCTCAGATACTTCAGAAGAATTGATTGATATACTGGAGGTCACCTCAGTGTCAGCCACACTGAAAGATATTTCATGTTGTCCATTAGCCTTGTGTGAATAATGATCCAACAGCGTTTGCAGTACCTCATCTGGAATGACATTTTTGTCATGGTTACCTTTAATCTCCACATTCAATGCCTGTGTGTCCAATATCGATGCGGTGGCAGTTTCATCAATGACACTTGCCACAGCTGCCTGTGTTACTGAAGGCTGAGATGCTATGGTACTTACATTCAAGGCATATTCTCTACTATTGTTACTAGCTGCTTGTAGATACCTCTTTTTCTTTAAAAACTGCATTGCATCATCATAATTAGTGCTGCTGTGTACCGGTTTACTGGGCCCTTCCTGTAACGTATCCACTTGATCGATGTCAGCATTACCTTCAGAGTCCAGTAAACCTTGTTTATCCACAAGATCAAACGCATATTTTGAAACCTTGCTGTCTTCATATGTAGATAAYGGTGAAATGGTTTGACTTTGCTCGAGTGGCTGTTTCAGACTCCTCTTGCTGTTAACTTTTTTGAGGACCAGCTTAGGTGGGTGTATTTCTCCAGAATTTGCTTCCTCTAAGTGCGACCCACTGACAGAAGAATGTGGCATCTCAACRGCATATTCCGCTACCATATATTCATCTTTTACTTTAGTACTAGCAGAGTACAAAGGCAAGTAGTCATTTTTGTCCTTCTTCTGTTCCGACTTATCTGTGCTTTCCTTATCCACAGATTTTGTTTTCTCTGATTTCTGCCTTTTCTTCTTTGGCAAGGAGCTGTCTTTCATAGGCGTAGAGAAACCAGAATCTTCCTCTGATGGCAAAAAGCCAACTTTGGTGGCACTTCTGTTTGGTTTCTTGTCACGGTTCTCATGGCACATACGTTTATGTTTCAGCACACGATCAGTCCTGGAGAAATACTGCAGAAGGTTTTTTATTAGAGAAATATAAATACATTAGCAGTAGAGAAAGAAAGCCCTGATTCTAACAAATTTATTTAACACTTCATTCGCTCTAGCCACTTCCAATGAAGTGCAGTTTGAAGCATTAAAGAAAAAGCTATAAAACCAAGTGGAGGCAGTTGTGCCCCTGTCCCACCTGTGCACCAAGATAACCTACCATAACCTATAAAAGATATTCTTTTGAGAGATTATATGTGTGCCCACAACTACAACAGCTGGAGAAATTCCCATGTGTGCTATTCACGAACTGAAAGGTGCTCTGGCTGAAAGGTTTCAATGAGCTGTGTTACCTGCAAACAATATTCGCACTGGTAAGGCTTCTCTCCACTGTGAGTTCTTTTGTGCCTTTCCATGTGATACTTCTGAATAAACCTCATACCACATTCATCACAACGAAATGGCTTCTCCCCTGATAAAAAAAWATATATATATTAATATTAATCTAAGCAACATAAATTCTCAAACACAATTTCCACATAATTATCAGATAAAATATTAGAGTCTCTAGTAGAAGTAATAAAGAAGAGGATTTAGTCTGTCACTATTGAAAAAACTACACAGAGTTGCTCACACCACAATGTTCCCAGGGCTCAGGAGTCTGATGCTTCAAAATAATCATAAAAACAAGGGGGAAAAAAAGGTATTTACACAAAAAAGTTTTAAGAAACTAAATTCTTTCTTCTTCTAATGTGGATACAGGCACGTTATCTTTAACCTAAAAAAAATGAAGCAGTTATCCTTCCTAAAATATTGCTACATATTCTTTTATGACAGAGGTTTATATAAAACACCTCTCTTTCTAATTTAGGCCACATAATTCCRTTTTAAAAGAATAGTGTATTTTCAAGCTTTCAATTTAACATATTTGTAGGGYTCTGTGTATTTTTTCTTTTTTTTTCCTAGTATCTGTATGCAAAACTGAAGGAACTGGCTCTGAAAAAATCTTACCCTTTTAGTTGAAAATTGCAAATTGTTCTTACTAATTAAGCTGAAAACACCATGTCCCTGTAGCTAAATTGATCCAGGCCAACTGAATTCTCTTTCCCCCTGATATCCCTTTGAAACCACTAGGTTTCTCTGGTGAATGTAAAAACCTGAGATGTCTGAAAAGTTAGTGTTGCTGTTACAAACTGTTCACTGTTGAACAGAACTCATCCTGCACAACAGCAATCCTACCTCTTAATATTATTATACAATCTTTTAAGTTGAGGTAGAGATTTTGAATTCTTTCAACACCACCTGTCAGCGTCTTCTTTGTTCTTTGCTCTGATTTTGGGAATAAAAAACAACTATCTTTTGTTTCCAGAAATATACGGATAATTTTTCTTTATATTTCTGAGGTAATTTCTCAGACATATTATTTAATTTACTATTATTAAAACTTACATACTCTATTTAGAAAAGCAGTATTTAGTCATATCCTCTCCAAGTAGAAATAAGGTCAATATGACCACATCTTCAAATAAGATGTTAATATTTTTTAAAATTGTAATGGAAATCACCTGCATCACCTGTATATTTGCTTCTAGTCAGATCATCAACACTCCAAGCTTTGACCGTCCTAATTCTAAGTATCTTTTAGATCTCTCTCTTTTTAAGCCTATGCCCTATTTTCAATTACTAACCTTACTCCTCCACATGACTTCTCGACCAATGCCCTCCTGATGACCTCTTGCCATCTCCATTTATCCTCTTCTAAAACGAACGATCTTCTCTCCTAAGACCTCTCAGATCCATCAGCAGTTTTCGTGGTTTTGTTTTGTTTGTTTTTCTATAGGTTCACATTTAACTCAGGACTAACCTTTGCCATTTCTTACTTACTAAAAATCACCATAAAATCCTGGGTTTTTTAAACTTATAGTTAAAAGTTCATCATCTCCTGTACCAACTCTTCACTGGCCTAATTCCTACCTTTCTAACTCCAGTTTCATTCTTCTTTTCACGTTCTCTTTCCTCATCACCCACACTTCCTACTATGGTGTTGCATTTAAATCAAGTCTGTTAAAGATTTTCTGAATCAAATTCTAATTCCTATCTTCACTTCTAAAGAGGATGAGGTAAGACTTTGAGGTCATCTTTGGTTTAGATTTATACACCAAACCATCCCATTCCCAAAGACTACTTTTTAATCCGTCCTACTCACTGCTTTATTTTCCTTTGTTCCACTATTCTCTCTGTGCTTCCTTTATATTGCCCCTTCAAACACTTTTCCTTACACTGTCTGGAACTTCACTTTCCCAATCTTTTAAGCCTTTCCTAGAGAAACTAACTGTACTTTTGGATGATGAAGACCATCCTGAGTCTCAGCTGAACCCAAACCAAGTCGGAGAAGCAAAAAAATAAGCTCATTCTTATCCTAGCTTGAGCAGCCCTCCTGTTCCTGCTCGAATACAGGGCGCTTCACCGATACACTTACCTTCAGCCTTAAACCCATTTTTCTTTCTGAGCAGACCTGGAACCCTCAATATAGTTCTACTTAAACAAGCTATTTAGTGGCATTAGACTCTATCATTTCTACCTCTTTCTCTTTTCCAAGCTTCCAAAGGGCCAAGCAGGGGGCTTCATTCTTCTCTTTGCAGATTACGATGTAGTTGGCACATACCCACCCCTGGCAGCAGCACCCAGGTGTCTGTGCCTGATCCTGCACCCCTTCCACCCCGCGTGGGGAAGGACCACATTGTGAGAGGGGTTTGGGAGGACACATGGGCAGAGCAGTGCTACCATGGTGCAAGAGCAAGGAAAGCAAGCTCTTTGGGGACACTGCCCACGAGTGAATCACCAAAACATGCAAAATGTTTCGTGATTTTCAGTAGAATTCCACAGTACTCTGCAAGACGAAGAAACATTTTGTGAAACTGATATTATATTCGATTCTTGCTTTAATCTTCATAAGGAAGATAATATTAGAAAAAAAAAGATTAAATATGAAGATACGCTCCCCATAATGCTGCCTTCTGAGCGGAAGCCTGAAACTTGTGATGCCTCCTGAAATTTTGTTGTGCTCTCAAAATGGGACATAGTGCAAATGGAGGAGATTTTAACTAATGTAGGAAGTGCCAAAGACATTTTTCTGAAAAAAAGTTAATGAGCAGGAAAGATTCAGATTGGAAAAAACAAACAGAAAAACCTTAAAATACAGTAATTCTAAACATTATTTATCAAAGCAGCATAAAGCAAGGTATTCTTGGGACATTTTGGGTATGTTTTAGGTCTATATAGGAAATCTATTAAAACTGAGCAATACTGCTATTTACAGCTTCAAATACAATAGCTAAAAGGCTCTGACAATTATAAAATTAACCCCCTGGAACAGTTTACAATCTAAACAGACAAAATACAAATGATAAAACACGAAAGAAGGCAATAAAAAAGCAGCATGATTGAATAAGAAGGCACTTGGATTGTTAGCCCCAATATTGCTTTATTTTTTTTTTAAGTAATCTCTTTTTTTCTGAGTTTAAAATGCAAAATGGGGTGAGTTACAGAATTAGGATATGACACATGAATGCATGAGTCGGGAAGGAGTACAGAAATATCAACAACAAAAATACGTAGACATATTTGGAAAACATTTGGTATTATTCTCTTCAGGAGCCAGTAAACTCAAAATGTGAATACATTAATCTACCGATGATTCTTCCTCCTACCTGAAATGGCAAATTTTCTGTATCATTAATGACAAATTTAACAGCATGGTCCTATCACTGAGACCTCCCTGTAGATGCAATTGCTCCTACTAAGTGAATTTGGTATTAATGCAATGTCTGCTTTTAGATGCAACTATTTAATTATTTACACAGGATAAGGCTGTTCGATGATGGCTTCCTACCTCCCCTATAACATTTCATTTAAGGGAGTGATTCAGAGAACAGAATTCAAATCATATTGGAATAAGCTACAGCAGCTGGGCGTTCAGGGCTTGTTAGCACTGTCTTCGATGGTCTTAGAATACTAAACTTGAAAAAATAATATAGATCTTAAAAAAAAAAAAAAAAAAAAAAAAAAAAGAGGAAACATTCTGTTTTTCTCCGACATTTTGAACACTGCAAAAAGAGATGGTGCCAAAATGGTCAGTTAGAGAGTTAAAAAAGCAAAAGGGAAAAAAGAAAAATATAATTGTAATGAAAAATTCTCCGAGTGGGAAGACTCTGAAGAGAGCTCTCCTTCCCTCTCACTTGAGTTACAAATACAGCCCCATTGCTCACCTTCTGCTCGGAGAAAAAAGATTGAGATTTCAGCTTTTTTGAACGGCTCCAATAAACAGAATAAACACACCCTCGCTGCAAGTGCACTGGAAACTGTCTCAGTAAGTGAGAATGAGACTCCTGGAAGCTGGGATCTTCCCAACTCTCTCCCAAGCATTTACACAGTTGGCATCTAGGAGGCATCCATAACTCAACAATTTTAAAACCATCACCATTCTCAATTTTCTAAGAAATAATCGAACTCTACTAAACCAGCAGGATGCCGAGAAAAGGAGGAAAAGAAAGTTATCTAAATAGCCAGGTATCAACATGGCTCATTTGTTAAACGGCAGCTTTTTTTTCTCTGTAGCATAGGTAAAAGCTGGCAGGAAAAAAATCACAATCCTCCCCCCAACCAAACCCTCCCTCCACAGCTTGCAATCAACCCAGCAGAACTCTCTGTAGGGCTAAAAGCTACACTTGAAGAGAGAAAATTAAATCTATTGATATAATATTTGCAATGAAGCGTTAACTAACTACCCTGCCCGGACTCTCATTTTCAAAGCCACATACAGGGAATAATCCTTAGGAGAAAAAAAAAATATTCTGAACAAAAATGTAAAAAGAAGAAAAAAAAGACCATGCTTCAATTTTTGCCATTTCTTTTTTTTTTTTTTTTCTTTTTTTGCGGGGTGGGGGGTTGTGGAGGGAACAGAGAGAAGAAAGCGAGTGAGTGAGTGTTCTTTGCAAGACTAATATCTGCCCAGGGAAGGCAGCATGGTTCACCAATTCAGAGCCAGGGAGAGACTAGGAACAGAACAAAGACGTTGGACAGAAGAATGGAGACTCTTCTGGGGCTGGCTGGCCGAAGGAAACCTACTTAGTCTGGAYTCATGGCAACCTGGGATACAAAAACCCCATAAACAACAGGGCATTTGTGCATGTAACTCCCTGCACACTGCTCTGAAAATTCATTTTGCTGAGGGGTTTTTTTCCCCTCTCGCTCTCACACATGCACACACTGCACTGCGTGTTAGTAGCTTTCGGATCCATTTAAAGGCCACAGACAAGGAACACTGTGCACATTCACCAGCCCTGCTTTGCTGCAAAACAGGCTGAGAAACTGGCATCTCGTCCAAAAGGACCATATTACAAAATATTTACAGAGGGATTGAAAGGCCATGCACCAAAATGCCAAAAACCCAATGAAGCCAAACCTGTTAAAGAATGTGGTTTTGTGCAGTGCAACAAGATAAAAAATAAACAAGTAGGTATAAACTTTAACTCTCTTTGGCTTTAAACGCCGGGCCTTATTTGACCTATATTGCATATTTTCAAACTAAGGCTCTTATTTTTAGAACAGTTCTGAATTAAACCTTGCAAAAAAAAAGAGTGAAAAGTAATGCTGATACTAACACCTTTGGGATTAGGCATTTTGGCCATTTTAGTCCTGGCACTTTTCCATCAAATTCCAAAAGAAATCAAAAAATCTACCGCGATGCGATTTGCAAGTCCCAATTGTCCAAATTAATTTGATACAACAACAGATACAACTGCTTAAAAAAAAAAAAAAAAAAAAAAAAAAAAGGACATTTATGAACACACAAAGCTTCAGGATTTGCCACTCGGGTTACTTTTAGAATACTCTTTTCCGATTTTCTTCCTAGAGTTTATACTCACTTTACAGCCAAAGGAAAGTGGAGCAAGTCAAAAGCACAAAGCTAACTTAAATCTTCAAAGTTTTACAACATTTGTTAAGTCAAAACAAACTACGGCAGGAGGATTCGGGGCTGCATATTGATTATGGGAAACCTTGCCTGAGTGGGGAGACAGTTCTTAAGCAGGCTAGTAAAGAGACTCAAGGCACTATACTCACCAGTATGAATCTTCTCATGCCTCTGTAGCAGGTACTTCTGAATGAAACGCATGTCGCACTGACTGCACTGAAATGGTTTTTCACCTTGAACAATATAATTCCACATCCATAAGTTAATAACTACACACTGTTGTTTCTGATAACTACTTTTGAGGAATATAAAAATTCCTACAAAAAAAAACAGCATCTGAGCAAATTCCCAAAATATTCTAACAGCAAAAACCATCACCCTCGCTAGGTACATGACCTCCAGAATTCTTTCCAGGTACCTACAAGTCACATTCATACTAGCAGTGATCTAGAGTGATCTACAACGGCTGTAATTTCCTCATGACCAAGATCAACCACAATGCTGGCACGGGGTTGCGTTCAGGGTACCTACTATAATGGGAAGTACCTTTTCCAGAGCAATACCTCGGCAGGCAAATAAGCAGCTGGAGCACATTTTACAAAGGGGTCAATTTTGGCACTTGGGCTATAGGTCAACCCATTACTTTCTGATAAAGAAAGAAAAGAAACCTTGTAATCAGTTAAGTTCTCAATTTTTAGAACAACTCTCGATTTTTCTGGTATTCTTTTGACACTTTGGTGCATGGAATCTCTAAGTTTAGATGCCAAGTTAGCTACGCTCTTAAAGGTGAAATTCGCATAGAGCTGAAAACATTTTTAACATAAGTAAACAAATCTTTATATAGCAGAAAAGACAATTTGAAGTCAAGCAGTACCTGTATGAATGAAGACATGTCTCTGTAAATGGTAGTTGGTTCTAAAGGCAGCATTGCAATGCTCACAAACATGAGATTTGTGGGTTTTCAGACCAAGTGATCCGTCCTCATTTATTGTAAGGATCTATTTTAAAAAGAGTAAAATTTGTTCTCACACTACCCTCTAAAGATGTCTTATTTACTAAAAAAAAGAAAAAGAAATCTGTTCAATGCAAAATCAATCAATCAATCAATCAATACTTCAGGCAAACCATGCTGATTGCTACAAAACTATCCGATAGGCTTTTGGCTTACATTTCCAAACACAGCCCAATCCAACGTGCGTCTCGTTAAATTAAATGATATTTCAACAGGACAGAGACAAAAGCAGCCCACGGAAAAGCAGCGTCGAGCTCCCCTATTCGCAGCTGAGTCACTTTACAGGCTACTGTTTACTTTGTCCGTCTGGTGGAAAGGAGGCCAAGCAACCCAACCACCGCCGGGCACAGACCCACGGACTATTGTATTTTAATGGAAAAGTGAAACGTTACGTTCTCGTTCCAATCAGATTTGGAATGTTTGTTAAAATGCGTTAAAACCTATCCCGGATAGTCATACAAATTATCTGCGTAATCTCAATAGTCTCGGAGGCAAATTGCTTTTTTAAAAAAAAAAACAAAACAAAAACAAAAACAAAAAACAAATCTCAAAGCCATACAACCAAAAGAACAGCATTATTTTTCTCTCTGCTCAAATTTTTCACGCAACAGAGTATTGCTCACTCAATGCACATGCTGGAGCAGGGCCTTGACAAATTGCTTTGGTATCGAAGCAGCTATTTTCATATGAATTTGGGGAGAAAAAAAAATAAAACTTAAATGAAAGAGTTTTCCACTGTAACTATCTCATTCAATAAAGCTCTTCACAAGTTTCCTCTATTTGACAAACAAACCAAAAAGAAAAAAACAAACAAACCAAAACAAACCAAAACCCCCAATTATATAACCCCAACTATCTCTGGCAAGAGAGTAAGAAAATTGCTAAGCAAGTTACATTTCCAAAGGTTTTGCTTAACTAGGAGCAGAACTTTAAAGAAGAGTATAAGCAACCTTAAATAAAACAGTTAAATCCCTTGTTATTTGAAAGAAAAAGGAAAAAAAAGAAGTCTGCTGGGGAAAACACATCTGCATTTTGCTTAATTAGGATGTTTGGGAAGTTTATGGTAACGATAATGATGAGAAAGGGAGAYCAGAATAACCGAAACAGCATTTTCTCTGCAACAGTGGCAAACACTGTAGCATCTCCTGAAACAATTTTCAATCTGCTGCATCAAAACTCAACAAGTTTGAAGTCTCGAGCCACAAAACCTCGTGCATTCACTCTGAAGGACAAGCACATTCATACGTCTATCAGAGAGGGACGCTATAGCTCCAGTAAGTCACAGATACAGACAATTATCAAAATTCTGTTCTGCAACACCATAGCGCTAACGAAATACTGACTGGTTAATTAAAAGGAATTTAAATATATGTTATGAAGCATTTTTCATATGCTACATTATTTTTTTTAAATAACTGTGCAGAAAGTAACTTAATGTCATAGTTGGCCTAAGCCTGTGTTCTTCTCCTGCATCTGTTCATTTGCACAGCCTCCTAAATCAAGAGAATATGTTTGTCAGTGCAGTTTTCTCTTAAAAGCAACAAAAAGTGTATGTGTGTTTCTGTGCATATGTGTGCATGTGTGTGGGGCAGGGGGGAAGAAGGAGACACGATTCATAAAAGCTATTGCCTTTTTACGTGTATAGCAAGTAATGCAAAATAACCCCAAATTTAAATTGTTTCAGTATATTAATTGACTTCCATATAAAAAAAGCCACAGGGGCTGTTCAAATAGAGAAAAATGAACCCAAGTACTATGGGACCACTAACCTAAACTGAAGTCGCCTCTCCCCTAGATTTGCCCTTCAGCTTCTTTCTGCCACTGTATTCTCACAGACCTTTAAAAAAGCAGGGGAAAGACCGAACAAGAACCTGTCTGATGATTCTCCTGATCATTTTTCCATCTTGAGGGCCACATGCCTCTCCCACCTCACACTGCTTCCATGGAAGTGATGGGTGAAGGGCATGCACGCGACAGCTCCGGTTTTTAAATCAAAGGGACAAGTATCYGGATGCAAAGGTTTGGAACCTGCTTCCACAGCCCATTTAAAACTATCTGTCATGTCACCAGGAACTACAAGTGCTCCCTCACTCGCCAGTGACTCGAGGAGGACGGGAAGGCAGCTGGTCTTGGGAGAGCAGCAGTTGGGCTTTGGATTCCTTGCTGATGTTAGAGTGGGTTTGCCTTCAAGATATGTGCAATCTGGGTTGATTTTGGAGTAGGCTTCTTTTAATGCTGCTGTGCGACCATGCATGTATATTTATCTATATCTATATGTATATATAAAGCTGATTTTTGCCTATCAGAGCATCCTGTATACATTCTATTTTAAACCTGGAGATTACTATTGATTTGGGGAGTTACTCAAAGATGCAGCACTGCCGCAGCGCTCACCTCCTCTGGTGAAGTGATGCTGCTTTTATCTGCAGCAAGCCTCAACAGGAGAGATCCTAAGCTGTTCAGTCATACCGAGATACATACTCTTCACGAATGGATCTTCAAAACACTTTTTGAAGTCACAAAACCAGCAACTACTGTAAGGTGCTTTTGATATAAATAAATACATATATGAAGATGATTATGACCACAGGAATATTCCCTTCCAGTAGATTATTTTATATACATTAGTGAACTTTTTAAGTTTTTCAACACTACCCTTTTAGGTTTCTTTTTAAGAACTTTTCACAATGCATGAAGCACGTAAAATTATCAGGCTCACATGAAAGCACAGCTATTATTAGATAGATACAGAGTAATGATTTATACCTTGTCTACAAAACTACTGATTCATGATTTTAAAAAAAAGAAAAAATATTTGAGAGAGAACTGCCTGGAGAGACAGATGTTAAAATGTGCCAAGGGTTCATGTTGCTAAAAAGAGTTCAAAGAAAAACAGTGTTATAATCAGGWTTTGGTTTGGGTCTCTGGTAACCTTCCAAACTGCATCTTTACTGAGCAAACAAACAATTTCCAGGCTAGCTASTTCAAGTGCTAATGAAATTAGTCATAGTCAACCAAATCTTCAGGTTCTTTTAATCTTGGTTTTGCCAAATCAATGTCTTACTTTTGCTGGTGAACGCTGTTTTCTTTTCTTCTTTTTCTGCAAATCTACTGGCTCTCGTATTTGTTTTTTGTCTCGTTTCTGTTGTTCAGATGCATCAGTAAAGGTAATCTCTTGCTTTACACTGATCTGTTAAGATACCAAGTGCCAGTTTCAGGTAAGGTTCTCACTACAGAAAAGCAATTTTTCAATTTTAGAAGATGACAAACTGATGAAACAGAAAACCTTTTCCTAAGGGAATTATCTTGTGGTTTCACTCTTTCAGAAATTTAAGTGAAAGGAAAATCAGTATCTTCAATAAGAAGGGCATAGTTAATTTCTACAGTGACATTTTGATGTATCCTTTCATTCACCTCGAAAGTCTTTTTTCCTTCTGACCTGCGGTGATTTTGAGACAAGTTGTTATATTAAAATCACTTCCCTCTGTACAACCACTCAGTTTTTCACACCTATTTTACTTTAGTCCCTGTATTGTCAAGGCAAGATTTAACGGAATAGTTTATCAGATATTTAAAACAAAAATAGTGCTAACGAGGGTTTTTTATTTTTTCCCCAGATATATTTCTTGATCTAATGTAAACTTTAAAAAAAAAGAGCAAGACATTCTTGCATTTTTCTAACACCTGAACCACCTGATCTCCAGCTAACAGCCTAATGTTTTTACAGTGCTACCTTGCCACAGATTATTCCTCACATCTAAGGCTGGCTCGGTTTTAAGTCCTCGTCATTCTCCTCTCTGTTTGAAGGGCAGCAGGGATGTTGTGCTGTATCGCAGACAGACGCTCTGCTTTCAAAAGGAAGTCACCTACGTGCGCCCGGGGACCCATGGGGTTCACCTTCTCTTGGGGATCGAGGAGGGCCATAGTTATGGTCATGTATGAAGTGTCACAGTCCAGCCTGCAGTGTGAATGCAACTGCTCAGCGCCCGCATACTCGGAAAGCACGGAGGAAAAGGCTTCCTGCAGCAAGCGAAACTAAACAGTGCTATGAACAGCATAAAGGCTAGGCACCTTTTCACAATGCTATTTATTCTGCTTTGGAGTTATCCTTGAACGTTAAACGTATTGAAAAGAGCACATTTTAACTCGGCAATTCATATGGTAACAGCCTGATTATAAAATATTTATAAAACAGATACTGAAAGATCGTATTTAATTGGCAAATTTTATCCACAGCCAGAGGCAAATGACATTTTCATAAATAGCATCTATTCATAAATATTTTGATAATCAAAATCCAAACAAGCAATTAATCAATTCTTGCCAGAGTAGGATAAGGCTACTAACTCATGCTTCCTAGCAATCTCTCCGTATTTCACAAAGAAAGTGCTTACAGGGACATTAACAGCGTACTGCAGCCCTTGAGGGAGCCTCTCCTGGGCGTCCATGTCATCATCGTTCTTTACCGTCTCCTCGTGGACCATGAGTTCATCGTGGGAGATCATCTCCTGCTGCCGGAGGTCGCTCTCCTGCAAGACCTCGTCGGTGGCCAGGATGTCCTGGTGCGCCAAGCTCCGCTCCTGCAGCGCCGCCTCCGGCCGCTCCGCCGACACGCCGGACTGCTCCGATACGGCTCCCATCCCTACCATAGCCCTGGACGACTGCATTGGGTCTAGGCCACCACATTTAAGAAATAATCCTCCCAGCTTGTCTTCAATGTTCATTCTTAAGTGCAATAACCTACAAAGAGAGTTTTAATAGTGAACATCTCAAATTGGTGCTCTTCATTTTTAYTTTTTACTTATAAACATCCTACACGAACTTTACACTCAGGCACGCATTCCTAAAACAGATATCCAAATAAAAGCAAAATGCTGGATACCTTCATTCAGCAAGCTAAGATTCTCTCACACACAGGCATACGTGCGAAAACATCCACTTTCAAATGTGAAGTTTATAACTAGGTGCCTTTGGATCACAGGAAAAGTTATAATGAAATGACAGCAAGAATTTAATTCTCCTAATTACTTAGAACGCATCTTTTTTTCCATGCTCCTTTTACTCAGTTTTCTTCGCCTGTTTTGAGGCATCTTTTCGAGATGTTCATCCTGCTCTCCCTGGCAGGTGCCCCTTCCTCTTCGAGGGCTCTTTTGCCCTGACCGTAYTCTAGCTGCTGGAACACCTCAATTCCCCCCAGCAAGAGAAAGGGCAACGTTTTGACCAAAGATCCATGTTAAGAAAGACGAGGGCAAAGCCAAGTTTGTTTCCAGAAAGCCTGTTCATTTCCATACCCCCTCAGGCACTGGAGAACTGGGCACAACAAGGGAATCTCAGTGGAATTTGCAGGATGGTGGCCGCACAGTGCAGGACATGGATGGCACCGCGCTCCAAATTACGACACGCGTGCGATGCCGGCGGCCCCGTCTCAATCCAAGCCTCCATCGGCTGCTACGCCCTACGTACGACTCCAGAGCACAAGCAGTAACCAAGGATTCGCTCTGCGCAGAGCTCGGCAGGGCCTCCACCTTGTGGGAATCCATCCCGGTAACCCGCTCCCAGCTCAGCACCCTGCGAAACGACCGGATCAAACAAACACGGATGCAACAATTCCGCTTCTTAGTTCAGTCAYGGAACCCACCTTGCAAAGCATTGCGGAGCAGTTTTCAGCTGAAGGAAATGTCTGAATGCCCCTTAACCCACTGTGAAGATTAGTCCCTACCAATCTATGGCAAGTCTGCAAAATAAACGGCAGCCCTTCCCCAGGGAAGGTGGTGGAGTATCTGCCAGGAATGCAATCCGCTAGCAGAGCGCACACTTCTTCTATATAGCTTTCAAACACTACTACTAGTTCTTACATCCTGAAAATAAAATTCATTTTCTTAAAAAAAGAACAAGAAAAAAAGGCCAGCTTTAACATCTTCTAGTAGCAACTCAAGTGGTAGAAGTTGAAAGTGAAAGAACATTTGTCTCCCTTTTCTGGGGTTTCTAAATTGCTGAATGTGTCATAAAATGCCTGAGTGACAGGATGTTCCCTTAAATACATCTCTGAGCTTCAAATAAATAAAAAGCCTTCCAAAGAATGAAGCTTTTCAGTCAATTACAGGTTTTCCTTCAGGAGGCTGGTCTCTGGTGGAAGCCAGAGGGAGGCAGTCACCAAGCAAGGTCTGCTTGCTTATATATGACAACAGCATCCTAAATGCTTCCCATCTTCACTCCTGTTTAACTGCGGCCGCAGTTCTGGACTGCAAGGCAGTCAAGATAAAAGACCTAATTTATTAACAGGAAAAACTAACCGGTTTTGGAAAACAAGAAATACAAAAGTGAAATATTCGAGATAAAAGAGTGCTGGTCAATATTCTCCAGAAACCTTTTAGCAAAGCAGAGAGGAGCCACAGACACAAATCCTTCAGCAACAGCTCATCTCCCAGAGCTTACTGAAGCACCCGGCATCATGGAAGGGTCTCCCACGCTGGGACGCACAGGGGGAGGCACCCGGAGCCCCCCCGGCACAAACTGCAGACGATTCCTGCTCTTGCCAGCGCCCGCAAGCTCCGACTGCATCTCGAGCTTTTGGGGGAAAAGAACGGCGGAAAGAGACACTGCTGATGCCAGGGCCCTGACACTGCTGCCCCCGGAGGACAGGTTCTCAGCTGCTTGGGGCTCTGCAGATCCCCTCCGCTGACGGGAAGCAGGAACCTAAGAGCTTCCCGTTCCAATCTGGTGCTTTCAGCAACTTGCCTTCGTGCTGGGCAGTGAGGCAGGGGCTGACCTCATTCTGCATCATAGACTAGGAAGAAAAAGCGACCTTAGGAAGTGCAAAGGCCAGAACAGCTGCAGCCCCAAACTGTTTTTTTTCTAAATCACATCTGAACAAGCTTTTTTTTTTTTTTTTTTTTTGCATGTGTATCCTCTAACAAAAGCACCACCACGGAAAGCTCTGGGGAAGCTCTCCACTGCAGCTGAAGCCAAAAGCAGGCTGTTTTATCAGGTTGTTGTTCTAGGGCAGAACCGCATTTTAGGGGCCGAAAAGCAAGTCTGTGACTGCAGGACAGGAGGGGGGAACCGCTGCTCTGCACACTCGCACTTGCCCTCGCGCGCTGCGTTTCCCGCAGTTCTGCTGCCAGAGTCGGTTTCTGTGCAAACCAAGGGTAGGATTGCCAACTTCAAACAAGCACAATATCTTTAATGTCTTAAGTGAGGTCAGGTAGCATTAGGTGACAAACTTTCAGTTAATCCATACTGCAAAAATAGGATGAAATTTTATGCATCTTAAAGAGAACTGGTGTTCTCGGTACGTCCCACAGGCACCTACAGGCATGCCGGAATCCATCAAGTGCTTTTTAAGAGATAACTGGGCAACTCTATGATGCTTCCTTAGTCAAAACACAAATAAACAAACAAAACCCCGCTACAGGGTTAAGGTTGTTTCTTTCACCAATTCAGGTCTTCCAGGGAGATCTTGCAACAGCAGAAAACAACAGAAGAAAACAAGGATGAAGTTATAATCTTTTCTGTGCAGAAAATCTTGTGTCAATTAAGAAACGCGAGGAGGAACCGATGTTCTTAAGATTCTCTCTCCATAAAGACACTATTTGATACTGGATGGCACAAAGCAGTGCAGGTGGAGGCTGGTTTATTAGGCAGGTCTTTGTAAAAACGTGATGTGAAAGGTAGAGGTTCCAAGGAACTGAGCATGCAGATACCTACAATTTATTCATTCCAGCCCTTACCCCAAATTTAGCCACATTCAGAGTCCTCCTCATATTGATTGTCATTCACTGTGGTTTTGTTCTGTGCTACAGAAGTGCAACAGCACAAGCTCCCTGCAGACTCCTTATGGGAATGACATGCACAGGTACTGGAATGCAGGAATTAGACACATTTTCCACAGAAAATAAAACAAAACAAAAAATGGTATCAAGTGTGAGAATGCAGTGAACCTAGGCTGTCCGCTAAAGCCAGAACAGACAAAAAAGGCACAGAAGATTGTGCCGTATCACTCTGAAATCGAGATAATTGTGGATTTAAAGCTATACCCTGATGGGAAGGTAGGCAGATAAATAAAAATCAGGAGATTGCAGAAGAGCAGGCARGCTACCCTCAGCAGCCGAGAGCGAGCAACTCGTTGCATGCAGAAACCTCAGACAGCTGGCGAGCTAAAGCAGCTGTCCAGAAGGCAAAATAGCTCTCTCCAGTATTTATTCGCATCAGTTCTCTCAATTGTCAAGGATATGGAAAACATTCTTCCCCACCCTGACCAGCAGGCCTAGCAGAGTCACGGAACTAAACGCGTTCAGTTGGTTTCCAACCACGATCCTGACTCGGGTCAGATGTTGGTGGAGGGAACAGAGGGGCTCTTAAAGCAGGCTTTCAAACAACTGGCTTTGCACACAAAAATAACACAGCTCACAGGGGTCGGCTGCATATTCTGGGTGGTGAAACAGCGCAAATCACAGGGAAGTCCAGGTAYTATATGAAGAAGCACAAATGAAAATAAATTATTAAGCCCAATGAGAAGCATCTCCTTTGTAATCATCTGAGCAAATTGAGTGCCAATTGTCAGCTGACACATTTTGGCTCSCAAAAGAAGAATCTTATCATTTCAATTGATGATGAGGAGGGGAAGAAAAAAAAAGTATTCTTGAAAGAATGACAGTTTGATAAAGAAACTGTAAGTTAGAAGCATTCAAACAAACTCACTTTACCAAGCCTGCAATAGAAAAACTTTACACAAGTTCAAGTGTAAGATGCATGTGTGAAATAAAGACTAGCTTACTTGGAGATTGAGTAAAGCTACAATAATATAAACTATATGCTAGCCTGCACTGGTACATTTCTTGGCACGAAAGGCTTACAGAAAGGCTTAAACTGCAGAGCTACTTTCCATGGAACTCCCGAACTTTTATTAAGCCTTAACAAATAATAACAAGATTCTCTTTTTTAAAAAAATACTCAGTACACGGAGGAGAAAAAAAAAAAAAAGTCAATTAAAAGAGACGCATTATCTATTTTGCTTGATTGCTGCTCCTGTCTGATGGCATTTCCCAAGTGGCTTCACATATACGCACATGTCCCGGGGGAGGAGAGAGGGGAAGGGCAGGGACTGCCCCAGAAATAGGCTCGGAGCCTCCCAGCACCTTCTCCTTTGACACAGGGCTCAGCAGCTGCTTGCTGAGCATCTACAGCCAGCGAACCAAGCGGCTTCGCTTCAGAAGCTGCTACCAGGGCAAACCCTACAGCAATACTTAGAACTATTCATTTCAGTAACCCTGACATCAGTTTTTCCAAAGATTACCGCTGCGGTGAGCTGGAGAGCTGAATGGTAAAGACACTATTTCTAATTAAAGCAACAGCAATTTGAGCAAAAAACGTCCTAAATGAAAAGTGCAACAGCCACCCTTGCAATTCAGGGCAAACAAATGAAACACCATCAAGAGAAAACAGCACCGGGCAGAAATCCCTGCCAGGAYGAGTCCCTCTGCCACCAGACACAGCCCGTGATCCAGCTCCTGTCTTCTTCCTTCTCGTCTCAAGCAAGCAGTAAAGCAGAGTTTGATACCGTGGCAGCACCCACAGGTACTAAGCAGCTTTATTAATATGCTCAGTACTGTGTTGAGTTGCTGGATTAGATTTAAAACACTATTTATGTATGATGAAGCAACAATATACTTGGGAGGATTAATAACTGTCAAATAAAATACAGAGACCATCTGCATTTTAATAGCTGCAAAATT